TAGAAGATCTACATGGCAATAAAATTGACTTTCTATTCTACCAATTAAATCTATCTAAAATTTTACCCGTCACAGTGTTCTAAAGTTTGCTCAGAAATTATATTATAATGCTGGTCAAAATTAATCACAGATTTATATCAAATTACTATACTACTTGTTACTTTTTTTATACTACTTCAGCATCTAAAAAGATAAGCAAATAGACATAAAAGGTAAGCATTTCAATATAAATCTGGCATTAAATAGATACATAGAGTTAACAACCTTAATATAGAACTAAGCATCTAAACAGGTATATAAGATCAATATCATCAAAATAGAATTTAATATATAAAAAGATTAGGAGTAAGAAAACAACTGTGATATTTAGATCATATAGTGATAGTTAGATTAAATAGTATGTAATAGTTAGATTATATGGTAGTAAGAAATATAAATAGTAGAAAAGGTTTAAAGGAATAGCTAAAGTATAAAATAGATACACAATACAGAAAAACGTATAGGTATATAGTGATAATTAGATTTTATTATTTAGATTATATGGTGGTAATTGGATTATATTATTTAGATAATATAGTGGTATTCAAATTATATGATAATATTCAGATTATATGGTGGTATTCAGATTATATAATGGTATTTAGATTATATGAAGGTATTCAGATCATATAATGGTAATTAAATTATATAGTGGTAATATAATCTAAGGTAAGTGGAATATCACTATAAAATATAATTATATTATATGGTTGTATCCCACTGGCTTATTTTAACTGCAATTATTAGATATATCAAATAATAAACTTTTTAAATTGAAGGTTTATTTTAAAATTATATATATTTATATATTTATTAATTTAGATAGCTAAAGAAATAAAATATATTAAGTGATTGTATTCAAAACTTTATTTACAATTTAATACTTAATAGATCAAAAATGTATGAAATGCTATATATCCTTTCTTAATCTATCACTCATTCAAGTGTTATGAAATTTATAATAAATAGGATAAAAGTGAAAGTTAAATATCATTTGTAGAATAGTAAAGGGTAAATGCAATGATGAATACTTTTGATATTCAAAATTGATACTCAACTGAATTTACTGTATTAATTATCATTATAAAACTTAATCAAAAAATAAAAAGTTGTGCCCTTGTTAGACTTTTCTTTACGCATCAATATAAAATTCGTTTTCAGTATAAATTCGAGTTTTTCGGAAATAGTATAGAGAAATTTTATGAAGACTACGCCACATAACACGTGTTCAACGTGGAAAAAAGATTGGCTGAATTATTCCTGGTGATCGAACTTCCCGGATTTCTGGTAAATGATAAACATTATGCTTGACAGATTTTTTAATCATAAGTTAAAACTCTTGTTCTTGTTAGCATATACCTTAATATGGAGTATTCATCATATATGGAGATGGGCCTGCTTGATCAGGACGAATTTGAAAACGCGGAACAGATGCAGTATGATGACTTTGACGGAGAAGGTATATTAAAATTTGCTAAATTGTTATGGTTTTTTTTTTGTTTCATTGTTAAAGACAACAACAGGAAAGAACTTTTAGATTTAATATATTTGTAGTGTAGATAATTTACTTCCTAGTATTAGTTCTTAATTTTATGGACAATATACCTAATAAACAAAATCAATTCACTTGTAAAATCGCATTAAAAATAAATAAAAACAAAATTTACACCTTTGATCTGTAATTATTGTAAAGAAAAAAAATTTTTTAATTTTATTCAAATCGTATAAAATGGCACATTCATTATAAAAATTTACGACATCAATTTAGAAATTTATCCACCCGATCCTGAATTGCAACCTGATATAAGTCAAGAAGATTGTTGGACGGTTATATCTTCATTTTTTCATGACAAAGGACTTGTTCGACAACAACTTGATTCATTCGACGAATTTGTACAAAATACCATGCAAGAAATTGTTGATGAAAATAAGAATCTTGTGTTGCAAACGGTTTCAGGAAATCAAGGAGGGGAAGGTGATAAGGCGGTATGTTCAATATATGTTATTTAATCTTCATCTCGTTATTTTTTTTTTTTAAACTTTTCGAGAAGTAATTTTCATTTCACACTCAATACTACGTGTTTATAGAGGCGATTTTATATCCGATTTGGACAAGTCTACCTATCAAAGCCTACTATGACTGAAGCTGATGGTAGTGTCCAAGCAATGTTTCCACAAGAAGCGCGTCTTAGGAATTTAACGTATGCGTTTAGAGTTTAAATTAATGAAATAATGTCATAATTTTGTTGCTAAGTATCGTATGCATCATATAGATATGCTGCTCCTCTTTACGTTAACATGAAAAAGGAGGTAATGGTGGCAGATCCTAAGGCACCAGAAAATAGAGGGAAAGCGACGCTTAATGAAATGTTTGATGAGGCTGATTTAGAGTTTGATCCCGATGAAAAAAGTTATGATAAAGTTTTTGTAGGAAAGGTAAATACTATATAAAAATAATTTATTTTTTTAATTTAAAAAAAAAAAATATTATATTAATTAATTTTTGTTTTATGAAATTGCAAGATTCCAGTCATGTTAAAGTCAACATTTTGTGTATTAAATGGTTTAGACGACAAGAGCCTTTATGCATTAAATGAATGTCCTTATGATCAGGTTCAACTTTTACTGTTGAAATAATAAGTTTTCTTTGATTTTAATTGATTTGATTAGTTTTATTTTTCTAATATAATGAGCCCGTTATGTTATTTGAATTCGATAGGGAGGTTATTTTATCATCAACGGCTCTGAAAAGGTGCTGATTGCACAAGAGAGAATGGCAACAAACACTGTTTATGTTTTTACAAAATCACCACCATCACCCTTTTCATATACAGCTGAAATTAGAAGTGCTATGGAAAAAGGATCAAAACTAGCCAGTTCTTTAACGATTAAACTTATGGCTAAAACAGCCGAGAAAGGAGTAAATTTTTTCCACTTTTTTTTTTTTTTTTTAAAAAAAAAAAAATACGTAGAAATTTATTAATTTATTGATTTTTTTTTTTTTCCTCTAGGCTACTGGACAATTTATACAAGCTACTATGCCTTACATCAAAAAAGATGTACCTGTGGTTATTGCTTTCCGGGCACTTGGCGCTGTTTCTGATCAAGATTTTCTACAATACGTTTGTTATGATCCATCTGATCATCAAATGTTGGAGGCATTAAAACCATGTATAGAAGAAGCATTTGCAGTTCAAAGTATGGAGGTAAATTAATCAAGAAACGAATTGATCATAATTACGTTGTATAGATTTTATATTCAATATGATTTATTTAAACAGGTCGCCGCCGATTGGATCGGACGTAGAGGTACAACCACAGGAGCAACAAGAGACAAACGTATAAAGTATGTATGTTTTTAACTATCATATGTTTTTTTTTAATTTAATATTTTTTTATTGATTTTTTAAATTCTTTTTAGATATGCTAAGGACATTCTTCAAAAGGAATTGTTACCACACGTCTCAACCGAATATGGATGCGAAAAACGTAAAGCATTTTTCCTTGGTTATATGGTTCATAGACTTTTATTAGCTGCTCTTGGGCGTCGTGAACTAGATGATCGAGATCATTATGGAAAAAAAAGAATGGATTTGGCGGGCCCACTTTTAGCTTCACTATTTCGTATGTTATTCAAAAAGCTTACAAAGGATGTCTCAATATATTTAAGAAAAGTTGGTACAATTTGTCATGCAATCAAGGCTTTTTATTTGATGGGAAAAATTTGTGACTTAACCCAAATACATTATTTGTAAATTTAAGTGCATCGATTCAAATCGTGAATTCAATTTGAACTTGGCGATCAAAGCTCAAACGATCACAAATGGTCTAAAATATTCTCTTGCAACTGGAAATTGGGGAGATCAAAAAAAGGCTATGCAGGTAAATAATGGATTATATTTTTTTTCTATGGATATTATTTAATGTTCAACATTTAATTTTTTTTTTTAAAAAAAAAAAAAAAATGATAGTCCCGAGCTGGTGTTTCTCAAGTGCTGAACCGATATACTTTCGCTTCCACTTTATCTCATTTGAGAAGATGTAATACTCCAATGGGAAGAGATGGAAAAATCGCAAAACCTCGTCAATTACATAATACTCATTGGGGTATGGTATGTCCTGCTGAAACTCCTGAAGGACAAGCTTGTGGTCTTGTAAAGAATTTATCTTTAATGTCGTATATTTCCGTTGGAAGCGCATCAAAACCAATTATTGATTTTTTGGAAGAATATGGAATGATTAATTTGAATCAACAGTTTGACCCTGCAAATATTAAAGACAATACAAAAGTGTTTGTAAACGGTAAATGGGCAGGAATTTCTTCTTCACCTGAGCAATTATCATATACACTCAAAGGTCTACGAAGAACTGTTGATGTAAGTCCTGAAGTTAGTGTTGTTAGAGATATTCGAGAAAGAGAGTTACGAATATATACCGATGCCGGGAGGGTATGTCGACCTTTATTTATTGTAGAAAACGAGCGCTTAAGAATAACAAAGGGGCTTATCCAAAAACTGGATGTATTTAAAATGGTAAATTATAATTTAATTTTTTTGTGTGAATTTTAAAATGATCGATGTTAATCTAACCTTGTAATAGAAAAATCGTCAAGCTGGGCTAATTGAAGAATCAGACGACGATTTATTTGAAGAAGAGGAAAATACAGATGATGATTTAGATGATGATATGGATAATCCAGATCCATATAGAAGAAGACGAAAAAAGAAAAAAATGACATTCGGATGGCAAGATTTGATTTCAAATAGTGTTATAGAATATATTGATGCCGAAGAAGAAGAAACCGTTATGATTTGTATGACACCAGAAGATTTAGCTGCTGCAAGGGTATTCCATGAAACTGGTGAAACAAAGCAAGAAAAGGCACATGAAAGAGATGTAGCAGCGCGTGTAAAAAGTGAAACAAATTTAAAAATACACAGTTGGACTCATTGTGAAATTCATCCTAGTATGATTTTGGGAATTTGTGCCAGTATTATTCCTTTTCCTGATCACAACCAAGTGAGTGTTAATTCTTAAAATAAGGTTTAAAACGGTAACATCTTTATAATCCTTTTCTATATTCCTTTTTAATTTTTTTCAGTCTCCTCGTAATACGTATCAATCGGCTATGGGTAAACAAGCCATGGGTATTTATGTAACAAACTATCAATTAAGAATGGACACATTAGCAAACATTTTATATTATCCACAAAAACCATTGGTAACAACAAGAGCGATGGAATTTTTAAGATTTCGTGAATTACCAGCAGGTCAAAATGCGATTGTTGCTATTCTTTGTTATAGTGGTTATAATCAAGAAGATTCTGTAATTATGAATCAAAGTAGTATTGATAGAGGATTATTTAGAAGTATTTTCTACAGAAGTTATATGGATCAAGAAAAGAAAGTTGTATGTAGAAGTAGAAATGAATTTGAAATGAAAATTTGGCGAAAAATTTATATAATAATAATTATATAATGATTGTAACAATTTATAGGGAATGTTAACTATCGAAGAATTTGAAAAGCCGACAAAAGAAACCACTCTCCGCCTTAAACATGGAACATACGAAAAATTGGAAGAAGACGGATTAATCGCTCCCGGAACAAGAGTGTCTGGTGATGACATAATAATTGGAAAAGTAACTCCAATTTCTCCTGATACTGTAGAGCTAGGTCAAAGAAAAACTACACACACTAAAAGGGATGCTTCTACCCCAATGAGAAGTACAGAGACTGGTATTGTTGATCAAGTTATGGTTACAACAAATGCCGAGGGAATGAAATTTGTTAAAGTGAGAGTTAGAAGCACACGAGTACCACAGATGGGAGGTAAATGAATATTTGTTATGAATTCGCGAAACTTTTAATTTTATGTTCACACATATTTTTATAGACAAATTTGCTAGTAGACATGGACAAAAAGGAACAATTGGTATCACATATCGTCAAGAAGACATGCCTTTTACCGCTGAAGGGATTACACCAGATCTTGTTATCAATCCTCACGCTATTCCAAGTCGTATGACTATTGGGCATATGGTTGAATGTTTGTTAGGGAAGGTAACTATAACCTTCACTAGTTTTAATTTACTCAAATTTAAACTAATACATTATTTTTCAATAATTATTGAAGGTTTCCACTTTAACGGGACAGGAAGGCGATGCAACTCCTTTCACAGATGTGACAGTTGAAGCTATTTCTCAAAGTTTAAGGTCACAAGGATATCAATCCAGAGGATTTGAGGTAATGTATAATGGACATACGGGACGTAAATTATCTGCACAAGTTTTCTTGGGACCGACTTATTATCAGCGGTTAAAACATATGGTGGATGATAAGATTCAGTACGTATCTTATTCTGTATACCTTTGTTAAAAATTGATTAGACATTGATTGAAACTATTTTATAATCGTAGCTCCCGTGCGAGAGGTCCTGTACAAATTCTAACACGTCAACCTGTTGAAGGTCGTAGTCGTGATGGTGGATTACGTTTCGGTGAAATGGAACGTGACTGTATGATATCTCATGGAACCGCCATGTTCTTGAAGGTGATTTATAATCTAAACGAAATATTCATTAGAGAATATTCTTTTAATTTGATCTTTAATCTTTTTATCAATTTTATTCCTTAAACGTAAACGAATATAGGAACGATTATTTGACGCGTCAGATGCTTATCGTGTTCATGTATGTGATATATGTGGATTAATGGCCATTGCGAATCTCAAGAAAAATACTTTCGAATGTAAAGCTTGTAAAAACACTACACAGGTCCGTTGATTTTCTTCTCATAGTCTTTTATAAAATTTATGGAATTAAAAATTTTTTCTAATATATTTAATTTAATGCAATTAGATATCACAAATTCATATCCCATATGCATGTAAATTATTATTCCAAGAATTAATGGCAATGAATATTTCACCGCGTTTATTCTCATAAAAAAAAAAAATAAAATAAAATAAACGAAATCATGAAGTTAATTATTTATAATTTAGATGAAAGCAAATTATCATAATCAAGTGATAATTTGATTTTTATTTAAACAGTTTAATAAAAATTTTCATAAAAAAATTAATATTAGAGATTATAGAATGGATGATGTAATTTATAAATTTTCTCCAAAAAAAATCTTAATAAAATAATTTGTTTTAATTAACCAAATCCTGACCATTCTAAACAATGATATACAGCTTTATCCTGTTGCTGATCCCAAGAACATAGCATGTATGACTTTTTAACAGCAGTTCCAAGACGACCGAATGTAATAATATCCATGGGAGATATTATTCTATCTATATCAAGGACAGTAGCTATAAAATGACTATGATATCTGAGTGGATCCCCTGTAAATATTATATTATATTAACGGTATAAATTAATAAAGTTCCATTCATTTGCTTTTAATTAGATTATTTAATATGAAATTACCAGGATATAAAAGATAATCGCCACCAAATTTAATACCACTTGTGATATAATATCCTTGATCCCACAAATCACAATACACTTTGTATTTCTGTATATCCTTTTGAACGTTCGGCCAAACCCATAAATTGTTTTGCTTTGCTATATCGATGGAACTATAACAATTCCCATTATCATTATACCAAGGAAATGAAGATGTTGTTTTAATATTAATCAATGGCGCGAAACCACTTATTTTTGATGTTTGGTTTTCAAGATCTAAAGAATTTTGCTGATCCTGAACTTCTTGCTTTTGCTGAAGTGGTATATCATTTTCTTTTGGGTCATTCGGCTGACTTGAATCATTATTTTTTCGTAAGAGTTCAATCTTTAATTTTTTTTTCTCTATAGATTTTATATATTCCTGTAACTGTTTATTCTCTTCTTGAGACCTCATTTGTTCAGATTCCTCGATCTGCGCTTGCGTGGGTGATCGATGACTCTTTGCATCATCAACCAAAACGATTATTCCTATCATACAAATAAAAATAATTTGTTAGGTAAATCAACCTTTTTATCCATTACAAAATTATTCATCACCTTTAGAAAGAAGTAAAGTTACTTCTTCAGGCATCAATGTCATAGGCAACCCAAATAATTGATTTTGTAATGGATATCGTGGGAGACATCCAATAAAGGATCCTACGATTCGGTAATTTTCGCGTAAAAATCGAATCGCTAAGTTTGAAGTTGAATTACTAAAAGTTTTTGAAAATGTTTATGTTTTAATTAAACCCCCTCCCCAAAATTATCCTGATAAAGTTTACCTTCGATATCCCATAATATCGCCTTTTTATTACAACATATATAAACCTTGAATGGAGGCATGAGTTGTTTTTCGACTTCAAATTATAAGAGTAATACATAATAATAATAATAAATAAAACTAATTAGAACAAGAAATAAATCAAAAATGTTTTTTATATGACGATCGATTTTAAAGGTGCGCAGCAATTTTTTATTAAATGTAAAAAAACCAAAATAAGGCAAATATAAAAAAAAAAAGTTAAAACTTATCAAATGATTTTTAGGAATAAAGAATGAATCAGATTTGAATAATTTTAAATTGAACTCATCATTATAAACTGTCTAGCAACTTTTCAAATCAAAGGTGTTAGAACAAAAGAATTGGATTAAGTAATTATATGGAAATGACAAATATTAAATACTTAATATATGGGGGCTCCACCAACTAAAGTTGATATTTTTGATTCATATTATTATATGATATATGAACTTTATTTGGTTAAATTTTTATAGTC